TAAAATACAATGTTAATGATGATAAAACAAATCATGGATGAGAATAGTCAGCAAAAGTGAATGTAATGAAAATGAAAAACTCACAAAGACAGAAAAGAAGAAAAAAAACGGATTAAAACCAACTGTCGCTTAACTGCCTGTTGACCCTGACATAAGTATGACATAAACAGAAATAAAAGGGAATAAAAGCAGACATATACATCCGTTCAGTAGCCCTCTTGCGGCTGAATGGAGAAAGTGGTGCCATTTTCTCTCAATTTGTCTCGTCTTTTGAATGTCTTTTGAAGGCTTTTGCATACTCTCGAGATCCCAGATTTATCCGCCTCGACTCCAGAGAAGTATGTTCTCAGTGAAGTTTTAGTTTAATGTTATTTTTCGAGCACTTTCTTTTTGATATGAGAAGTTGGAGAGATAGGTGGAGGGAAGGTCGTGTTTGACTGATGATGATATGTGTGTGTGGTGTGTGTGTTGTGTTGTGTGTGTGTGTGTGTGTGTGTGTGTGTGTGTGTGTGTGGTGTGTTTGTGTGTCTGTGTGTGTGGTGTGTGTGTGTGTGTGTGTTTGTAAAGGAGTGCGTGAATCTATTGTGTTAAGTATACTATATGTATATGTTTATGTGCGTCCGTGTTCGTGTTTATTTATTTTTTATATGTATGTTCATACGTATGTTTGTGGGGTTTCTGTTATATGTGTCTGTATTATTTCTCTGCTCCCGTGTGTCTATATTTTTTTCTTTATTTTTCTATTATTGTATTTTATTTATTTATTTGTTAACTAAGATTTTTAGAATACCCTTTCCCCATTATTTGTGAGAATTTGTATTTAAACGTGTCTGTACGTGTCTATGCGTACGTCTATGTAAATGCGTACACGTAAACACGTACATGTAAAGGTGCCCATTACGCCTGCCAATCCTCCAACATCCAATAAACCACGGACGTCAACATAAAAAATAATGACATAGATATAAATGGCAATTAAAAAGCCACAAACAGACAATCAATCACAAGGTCATTTTCAACCACGTTATGGCTGGCTATTAATAGAAGAATTAATGTTTTTTCATTGATGACGTCACTCCCGTATGTTGCCATTCTGCTAAAAGATCTTGCCCTTATTGAATAAAGATTTGATAGAATTTGTTTTTTTGTTTGTGAGTAAAGATATATATCACATTGATAATACATTCTATATTGGAATATTAGCTCATCTAAGGAAAATCTGTCTGTCTGGCTATCTGTGTGTGTGTTTCTCTCTCTCTCTCTCTCTCTCTCTCTCTCTCTCTCTCTCTCTCTCTCTCTTTCTCTCTTCTCTCTCTCTCTCCACTCATCCTCCTCTCTCTCTCTCTCTCTCCTCTCTCTCTCTCTCTCTCTCTTCTCTCTCTCTCTCTCTCTCTCTCTCTCTCCTCTCTCTCTCTCTCTCTCTCTCTCCTCTCTCTCTCTCTCTCTCTCTCTCTCTTCTTCTCTCTCATCTCTTTCTCTCTCTCTCTCTCTTCTCCTCTCTCTCTCACTCTCCTCTCTCTCTCTCTTTCCTCCCTCCCTTCCTCCCTCCTCTCTCTCCCCCCGCTCCTACTTCCCTCCCTCTCTCTTCCTCTCTCTCTCACTCTCTAATAACAAAAATAAAAATGTTTGAGACTAAAAACCGATGATTAAAAAAAGAAAAAGAAAAAGAAAAAAAAAATACGTCCACACAATATTCACAGCCAGGTCTCAGTCGACAGCCAATTGGCAATGCTTCCCCCAACGCCTTTGCTTTTACGAAGTCCCCGATATAATGCAGGCCGTAATCTGAGAAAGTCTCCTGTCCGTCGAGTCATTATTGCATTTACATCCTCATGTCGGCTCATCCTCCTTAGCATAAGATCGTCCAAGGTTCAAGGAAGACTCGGATCGTAGGACCTCCCTCCTCTTCTCCTTCCTTCCCTTCCGTCTCTCTAGCTTCTTCTTCTCTCTCCTTCCTCCTTTCCTCTCTCGTGCCCTGATCATCCACTTCTCCTCTCTTCTTTCTCCCTTCCCTCCCTGCTTCTCTCGTCTCTTCCCTCTCCTCTCCTCTCTGCGTCCCCTGATCATCCTTTTCTCCTCTCTCCCTCTGCTTTTTCCCCCATTCCTTTTCCTCTTTCTCTCGTTCTCCCTCCCCTCCTCCTCTCCTTTCTCCCTCCCTCCTTTTTTCCTCCTTTCCCCAACCTCCTCTCCTTTTTTCTCCTTCCTTCCCTCCTCCTCTCCTCTCTCCCTTTCTCTTCGCTTTCTCCCTTCCGCCCCCTGCCCTCTCTCCCTTCTCCCTCCTTCCCTCCTCTCTTCTCTCTCCCTTCGCTTCCTTTTCTCCCCCCCTTCCCTCCTCTCCTCTCTCCCTTCTCTTCCCCTTTCTCTCCTCTCTTCCCTTCCTCTTCCCCCCCCCCCTTCCTCTCCCCTGTCCTCCCCCTTCCCTCGCCCGTGGTCTTACATTGCCAGTGATTTGCCGTGTTGGATACGATGACTTGTTGTTGTGGGTGGCTTCGGTGGTGGCTGTTGGGGGCGCGTTTGTTGTTTTTATTCATTTATGTGCGTGATGTGTGCAGTTGTGGCGTTTTTGGCATTGGTATTGGATTTGTTGCATCGAATGTCTAACGTGAACGACCGTATTATTATTGATATCATTGTCGTTACTACTACCACGTCTGCTAGTACTGCTGTTACTAATTTTACTACTTTTAGTAACAATGTCAACATAATTTTCATCAATATCATCACTCTGATAACTTTTATTATTTATTCATTATTATTTTTTATAATCAATGCCGCACATTTTTTTCTACATCATTAGTATTTTTTCTCATCACTGATCATCACCATTACCGTCGCCATCAAGCATTATCTTTATTGCCACCATTATCATCCCGCCCACAATCATTACATCTTCATCAAAGTCACATCAGAGCTTCCTAGCTATCACGAGAGCAAACATCCCCCATTAGAATATTTATTACGCCTATAAAAATATACAGAACGTTTTCGAAATTAAAATCGGATCGTACATGGGAACTGCCGATCAAGTGCTTGTCGCCGGTGCCCTTCAGAAAGCATCGGGAATCCCCCCCTCCCCTCCCTCCCCCCAGCGTTCGCACAAAGCTTACACGAACGCCCGACGGTAATCCATAATCCGAAATGACCCGAAGAACGGAGGGAGTGGGTGTATACATACAACGTCCCGGGACAGTTTAACATGGAGGCTGATCGAGGTCTCTGTAAAAGTGGTGTTGAGATGAATCGCAAGTGACCGGGCTGCCTTGTCAAAGGGCCTGGGGGGGGGGGTGCGGAAGGAGAGAGGGCGATGTGAAGAGAGAGAAGAAACGAAAAAAGGAAGAAGGAATGGGGGGAACTGAGGAGAGAGGAGCGAGTGAGAAGCCGGGCGAAGCAATATTCCAAAAACGAAGAGAGAGCGAAGAGAGAGAGTGAATGAGACAGAGAGGTGAGAGAGAGAGAGGATGAGAGAGAGAGAGGTAGAGAGAGAGAGAGAGGAGAGAGAGAGGAGGAGGAGAAGGAGGAGAGAGAGAGAGGGGTCAGAGAGAAGAGAGGGAGAGAGGGAGGAGGGAGGGAGGAGGAGAGAGAGAGAGAGAAGAGAGAGAGAGAGAGATGAAGAGAGAGAGTGAGAGAGAGAGAGAGAGAGAGAGAGAGGAGAGAAGAGAGAGAGAGAAGGGGGGGAGATAGAGAGAGAGAGGGGGGGGAGAGACGGAGCCTTCAGCCTCAAAGGGCCTGGAGGAGAGAGGGGTGGGGGGGGAAGGGGGGGAGAAAGAGAGGGGAGATGAAAAGAGAAAGCGAAAGAGGAAGAGGAAGAGGAGAGAGCACTAGCTAAGCAATTGGATATTAAACACCTGAGACTGCGAGAAGAGAGAGAGAGAGAGGAGAAGAGAGAGAGAGAGGAGAGAGAGAAGGAGAGAGGAGAGGAGGAGGAGAGAGAGAGAGAGGAGAGGGGGGGGGGGATAGAGAGAGAGGAGGAGGGGAGGAGAGAGTGAGTGAGAGGAGGAGAGGAGAGAGGGGGGGAGATAGAGAGAGAGAGAGAGAGAAGAGAGAGGGAGGGAGGAGCAGGGAGGAGGAGAGAGAGAGAGAGAGAGAGAGAGAGAGAGAGAGAGAGAGAGAGAGAGAGAGAGAGAGAGAGAGAGAGAGAGAGAGAGAGGAGGAGAGGAGAGGGAGAGGAAGGAGATGAGGAGAGAGAGAAGAGGGAGGAGGAGAGGAGAGATGGAGAGAGAGAGAGAGAGGAGAGGGAGAGGAGAAAGAGAGAAGAGTGAGGAAAGAGAAAGAGAGAGAGAGAGAGAGAGAGAGAGAGAGAGAGAGAGAGGAGAGGAGAGGAGAGAAGAGAGGAGAGAGAGAGAGAGAGAGAGAGAGAGAGAGAGAGACGAGAGAGAGAGAGAAGAGAGAGGAGAGAGGAGAGAGAGAAGAAGAGAGAGAGAGAGAGATGAGAGAGAGAGAGAGAGAGAGAGAGAGAGAGAGAGAGAGAGAGAGAGAAGCGTGAGAAAGAGAGCGAAGAGAAGAGAGAGAAGAGAGAGAGAGAGAGAGAATCAGAAAAAAGAGAAACATAAAATCAAGCATTTTGACTCATTGCCCTCCGCGCCCCGCCCATTATAATGATAATATTGAGATAATGCATTTCTCGCTCTAATTAATCCCTAATGATGATTGCAGCGCGATTTCCACTGGAGTTCTGTGGTTTCGATCGCGCTCGGCCTCGATCCGTAATTGTGGTGGAGGCACAGTGTCAATAAAATTTCATTAATCGCGCTACGATGCCAGCATTGCAATGGATGTTCTAATGTTCTGTCTATAACCATAAGTCCATCATTACGAGTGCTATCATAATCTATGATGATTCCCAAATGGTCATATAAACGTTCGATGACACATGTGCATACACACATACGACCATTACTTTGTTTAGTATTGTTTGAATAATGTAAGCTAACTTTTTTATCGTAATCATTAAGTTTTGTATCGTTTTTCTTAAACTAACCTTACTTTCATTCTTTTTCCAGGGCCTGGAAAACGTAGAGGAACTCGCCATCAACAACTGCAAGCTGGACAGTCTCCCACCGGGGACACTGTCCAGCCTGGGACGCTTGCGGAGTCTCGCGGTGACGACCCACAACGGCGAATGGGCGGCACTCGCCATGGAAGTGGTCTCGGGCTCCCTCCCTCTCACGCTGGAGCGGGTGTCCCTCGCCCACAACAACATCTGGACGCTTCCCCCGAGAGCCTTCTGCGGGCCCAACTCCCTCCACCACTTGGACTTGTCTCACAACCGCCTCCAAGACGTCCACGAACTCGGATTCATGGACCAGGTCCAACTGGACATTCTGATGATGAACATGAGCAACACAAGCTTCAGCGAACATTCTGCTGTGTTTTCAAACTTGGACGAGGAATCTAGTGCTGAAAGGTGCGGACAGGCTCTTCGTGAGTTGATCCTAGACCACAATGACTTAGTGAGGCTTCCTGACGGGAGCTTCCGCGTCCTGTCAGGGCTCAGAGAACTTCATCTACGTGACAATGATATCAGACTTATATCCAGTGAAGCCTTCAGTGGACTTACAGCCTTACAAGTGCTATATTTATCTAATAATCATATTATTGCCCTACATAATGGAACATTCTCTGACAATATAGCCTTAGAGAGGCTATATTTGAATAATAATTCACTCAGTGCTCTAAATTCTAAAGTTTTCCAGGACATGAAGGAGCTGCAAGTATTAGAAATCTCTAACAATAAATTATATCTCGATAACAGTCATGATGACCTCTTCAAAGGCCTTCGAAGGCTTGTCATTCTTGATCTGTCATGGAACTCCCTCACCACAATCACAAAGCTTTTATTCCGGGACTTGACATCCCTTCAGAGGCTGGTCCTTTCCCACAATGCCATACAGAGCCTCGAGGACGACAGTTTCACTTCTTTGTCCAACCTTTATGCCCTTGATCTCTCCCACAATTTGCTCCTCACTTTGGGTGAGGCTAATTTGAGGGGGCTTGTCGGCCTCAGTCTAATTCACTTGGCTAACAATTCTCTCTTTGAAATTCATCCTCATGCCTTCCGCCATAGCTCAAACCTGAAGCAGGTCTTCCTTAGTCACAACCACCTCCAGGCTATACCCAAAGCCCTTGAAAATCTCTCCTTCATCAAGACTCTGGACATGTCCTACAACAACATCGTCAGTATCCAACCCTTCCATTTTGGAGGTCTTGGAAATCTTGAGATGCTAAATGTGAGCCACAACAAACTAGATTTTATATCTCAGGGATCATTCAAAGGACTTGCTTCTGTAAAAGATTTGGACCTAAGGGACAATGCCATCCACACAGTGAATGAGGGTTCTTTTGATGGAGTGCCAAATGTCTTGAATTTGGTACTTGCTAGGAATCAGTTGAGTAATATAGATCACATATTTGCGGGTCTGCAACACCTTGAATCCCTGGATCTTTCAGAGAATAATATAAGGATGTTTGACTATGCATTCATCCCTCAACAACTAATTAATCTAGACCTGAAAAAGAACAAAATTGGACAACTTGGTAACTTCTTTAAAGTTCATACCGTCCTGACATTAGAGAATATTGATGCAAGTCATAATAGCATTAAAAGCCTTACTGAACTTTCTCTTCCAAACACCATCATGCATGTTATTCTGCACCATAACAATATTACAAGGATTTTGCCAAACAGTTTCCGAGACAAGGTGAATCTTCAGACTCTGGACCTCAGCATGAACTCCCTCCAAAGAATAAATCCCAAGTCTGTCAGCATGAGAGTAGCTTCTGGAAAACATACAAGTGCACAGATATATCTGTCGGGTAATCCTCTTATCTGCGACTGCGAAATGGAATGGCTTTACAATTCATTCAGAAGCACTCTGACTACAACTCCGGAAGCCACCGAGGTCACTTTCCTTCAGCCTCGCATTGATGACCTCGCCCGAGTAACATGTACGCTCCTTCATTCTCGGGAAGACACCACAGTCATGACACGTGTCTTGGAAACCTCTGCAGCCAACTACCTCTGTCCATACACGACACATTGCTTTACTCTCTGCCAGTGTTGTGATTTTATTGCTTGTGACTGCCAGATGAAGTGCCCAGATGCTTGTTCCTGTTTTCATGATGACACTTGGTCTATTAACCTGGTGGATTGTTCAGGAGGACACTTGGATCGGCTGCCGGACCGAGTGCCGATGGATGCTACAGTTGTTCTGCTAGATGGCAACAATCTTCAGATTCTCCATGCTCATCACTTTATTGGGCGACACAGCATTCAGCAGCTCTATCTGAATAATTCGCAAATCCAGACACTCCAAAATCGCACATTCCATGGATTAACTTCACTGCAAGTACTTCATTTACAAGATAACATGATTGTACAGTTGAATGGCTTCGAATTCTCTGGCCTTCATCATTTGAAAGAACTCTACTTGCAGAACAACCGTCTGTCATTCATCAATAATGCAACTTTTATTGGGTTAAAGAGCTTGGAAGTCCTCCGACTTGACAATAATTTCATTATAGACTTCCCAGTGTGGCTACTGAGTAACAATCGTTACCTGGCTAGTGTTACACTTGGAAACAATCCGTGGGACTGTGACTGCCAGTTTGTTGAATCTTTGAGGGAGTGGCAGAAGCAGCAGTCCCACCTTCTGATCAACCCTGAGGATGTGTTTTGTGTACATGGCGACTCTGGGGTGGTAGGGCCTAGCATAATCCTCCCAGAGTACTCTTGCACTGAGGCTCAACATGGCGTTACGCAGTATAAGTTTGGCCAGCAAGAACTGCCATTCCTGGCTGGGGGTTTGTGTGGTGGTGTTGCTCTCATCAGCGCTCTGGTAGTGATGGCAATGTTAGTTGCAAGGAGAAGGGCAGCAGCAGCTAACAAACTGGGAATTAACGGGTCTCCTGCATATTGCCAAGAGGAGGACGGAAAAGTTTTCGATTCGTACATTAGCTATAGTGCAAATGATGCCAGCTTTGTAAGAGATGTGTTAGCCACTAAGTTAGAAAACAGTTGCCCAAGTTACAAGCTTTGTCTTCATTCACGAGATTTCAGTGAAAATAGCCGCCTCTCTGAGTTTATCACTCAGTCATTAGGCTTCAGCAGGAGAACCATTATAGTACTTTCCAAGAACTACATAGACAACGAATGGAAGAATGCTATCTTCAAGAAAGCTCATGTTGACGGGCTAAAGGACAATGATATGGGGATCATTGCAATTTATTACGATAACGTTTCGTATTCCTCTTTTGACTCAGACTTAAAAAATATTATGAGGAGATGCATTAAACTTAGATGGGGTGACAAAAACTTCTGGAAAAAGTTATCAGAGGCAATGCCAATAAAACAAACATATGCTGGACTGCCAGTGTATGTATCAGAAAATTCCTATAAATCATCAACTTTGCCAACTCTCATCCCGCCCTCATCCTTGCCTCTTCCATCTTCTTCCTCCGTCCTCACCTCCACGACAGGGCTCACCACACCGTCAGAGATCGGGCACAGACCGTCATGCCAACAAGAGCCTCCTGCAACTACCTACAAGGCCCCTCCACCTCCTCGTCCTTGTTATACACCACCGTCATGTGATTACATTGTAATGACAGGACGAGACTGCCGAGACCCACAGTGTACCTGCCACCGACACTCTCACACAGCATACACCTACGTGGACGGCGACTCCTCGTCCCTCCACACCTACACCTCTCTTGAGCCCTTCACTTTACCCGACCCTCATGTACCAGAGTCATATACACGTGGACATTCGCCTGCCAGTAGCCATTACAGTGCCCTTGAACCCCCTGTCAGGAGGACTGTAAGAGCTAGCAAGCGGAAAAAGAAGAGACCTCTGAGTCAGAACTGTCCACCTGTGCATTGTGACACTCTGGAAAATCCTGCCTTCACCGAAGACGTGCATGGCGAACTTCCCTCTAACGGGACCTTCCGAAGAACCAAGAGTCTCCGGGCATCACGGGGAAACCAAGAGCGTCATAGTGACTACTCGACAGATCACTCCAGTGACCGATCGAGTGGGAGATCGTACGACCACTCAGTGACCTCTGGCGGAGGCGTTGTCGACCGCAACGACGCCCTGTACATGGGTCTCGCCGATTCCCCGCCAGAACCGACGATGGTTACGACCGAAGAATGTTTCGTCTAGTCTTCACCAATTGAATAGTCTGTTACTCATAGATAGTAACCAATGAACTTCCTACTTGCAGTGTTTATTTCATTATCATGATGGTTTAGTCGAAAGCCATGTATGAATGTTGATTTTTTTTTATAATTGAAAACAAGCGGACTCTCTGTAACGGGAGCCTCATATATGTAGCTCAGTGTGATGAGAGGAGCCTCCACTAATTCACTACAGAGTACTTACCGTCCCGGTGGCCCAGAGTCACCAGTGATTGCATAGGATGTAAATATTAATCTTAGGCTTTTATATATACATATATAAATATATATATCAAGTGGATATCTATTTCAGTATTACATGAAGAAGCAGGAACAAAATATTTCACGAATATTCTCACAGCTTTGTGAGCCTATTGAAAATGGGTAGTTAATACTTACAGTGTATAAATAGAAATCATGTCTTAATTTTTGTATTCATATGGTATATATGATTAATGCTTTTGACTAAAAGAACGCTCTAGACAAGGTTACCAAGCCAGACAAGGCCTAAGATTTTGTACAGGTATTCAGCTATAAAATGTGAACTGGATTGTGATTTGGTGCTGAGGAAGCGCCATGGCGAGTGCAAGGCTTAGAAAGACCTTCATTAAGAAATATGAAATACGATGTTGTTTAGAAGATGGCAGATATCCCCCACCCCCTCCCCTCTCCCTTTGAACCTTTCATCCCTCCTTCTGGGTTTCCTTCTCCCCTTTCTCCCTCCTTCCTCTTCCCCTTCCTCCACCTTTGCATGGCACCCAAGCCCCCCCCCCCCCCCCCGTAGTGCCAGATCGTCAGGTCACAAACCTTTGATGATCAACGACCCCAGTGCCCTTTGATCAATGACTTTGATTAGTGTTTTATCTGACGCGGAATACTCCGATCGAGTAAGCCGAAGTGTTTTATACATTCTCTTACCAGACGCGTCCTTGGTTGATTAATGGAAACTTCGAAGAAAATTAATGACCAGCACGCGAGACCGAACTCATACATCAGAGATCATTAGTCCGAAATTGCGCTCGTCTAAAATCATGCTTTAAGGTGTATGGCGTTAGTCCAGCGAAGTCGTCCATCAACTGTGATCTAATCTTACAGGAAATCAGTCAGCATCATCTTTTGCTTTCAGCATCGGATTTCATTAAGAGTGAATCAACAAGAAAGTACTAGATGAATGCACTCGCTTGTTAAAAGAGTATTTACGAAAGTATATGAGTATGCAGTAGTTGCTGTGTGTTTGATAAAGGTCTTTAAAGTTTTGCATTTCGCTTTGCATAACTTTGCTGGTGAGCAGAAAAGCTTTTTGAGAGTCGCTTTGTGTTTCAGTATTGTGGAGATCACAGAGGAACTGTAAAATCATATTTGTGTCCATTTCTACAAATGACTCGATTTTTTTTCTTTTCTTTTTATTGTGTATTTGTTTATTCAACTCTCATTATTTTCTTCATCATCAGTGTCACCATAACTATGTTGTGACTGTAAAGCACTGTTATCTAAATGTTTCTTATGTAAATAGAAGAAGAGGAAAATAACTCAACAGAGAAGAAGAAAGTGCATTAGCCGCTCTCCTACCTGCACGAGAAGTCTCTCTCATTGGAAAAAAATTGTCCCTGATGAACTGCCGTGAGCCGAACCGAGCCCCACATTCTTTCGACGGCGAATGGCTGATAGTGAAGAGGGGAGGAAGGAGGATGGAACAAGGGGAATGCGGAGAACGCAGAAACGAAAAAGAACTTGAGAACAGGAATAGCCTGAGTTACCCTTGTGTTCAGTGTTCTGCCCCGGAGAAGGAGCGGGGAGGCCGGCCTGCGTTCCGCATTCCGATGGAAGGGATAGGTCCCCAGGGCTATTAATATATGTGTGTACACTGCACGTACACACACACACACACACACACACACACACACACACACACACACACACGCACGCACGCACGCACGCACGCACGAACACATTCCTCTCTTGTTCTATTTTGCTGTATTCTTCATTAATTTTCTCTCCCATTGTTATTTGATACTGATTGGAATTCTGAACTTTTTCACGAATTTTTCATGCATATTTCCACCTGTTTTACATACACTAATTTTCATCCCATCGGCGCATTAAGAATATATATTATTTATATAAGCTTTTCAGAGCATACGATTTTTATTTTTGTTTGCCTGCCAGCTTATTTAATTATTCATTTCATAACTGGCTTTAGTTTCCAAATTTGTTCGTTCTCGGTTTACGGGTTTTATAAAGGATAATTGTTTTCAATCACGCTCTGAACTAGTTGCCTCACATCGATCTAAATTAATTTCACTGTATTATCTATTTCATTGCGTTGTGTCATATAAGCGTGATGTTGCCTCATTTTTTTGTAGTAATCAATCAAATAATGAAGATGACAATTCAAATTGACTCCCTTACATCAAGAATCAAAAAATAACAGGGAAACATTATGTAAACAGATAATATCTCTTATTTTATGTCTGCAGATGTAAGTCTCAAGTTTGCGCTGCGTGTCCATGGAAAAGTAAAGATCTTTTTGGATTATAGTTCTTAATGAAACTGTGGCGGATGTATTCTCATTTCCTCTTCCCCTTCTGCAATCATTCCTAGACATCGAAATAAATATGTTTCCGGAGAATGTTGCAAAGGAAGCAACTTTCGACTCAATGGTGCCCCAATTGAAGGCTCGGTTTTGCATGACGCTCATGTCCCTCATCTCACAAGGTTCAGAGTCGCCACAACTGTTGTCTTCTGTTTATCTTTTTTATATCTTTTTTCCTAAGATATTATTTTGAAGTTCAGCTCTGAAGTTCTCGATGAATGGCGTATATTTGTTTCTTTGCGAGGTTTAAACTCGGGGGAATCGGTTTGAAAATCCCGAGTTTCTGAAGAGGGTGCCCGCTCTCTCTCTCTCTCTCTCTCTTTCTCTCTCTCTCTTCTCTCTCTCTCTCTCTCTCTCTCTCTCTCTCTCTCTCTCTCTCTCTCTCTCTCTCTCTCTCTTCTCTCTCTTCTTTCTTCCTCTTCTCTCTCTCTCTCTCTCTCTCTCTCTCTCTCTCTCTTCTCTCTCTTCTCTCTCTCTCTCTCTCTCTCTCTCTCTCTCTCTCTCCTCTCTCTCTCTCTCTCTCTCTCTCTCTCTCTCTCTCTCTCTCTCTCTCGTCTCTCTCTCTCTCTCTCTCTCTCTCACACACAGACACTTCTTCTTTCCTTCCTCGTCCCTCCTTTTCCCTTTCTTTCTCCCCTCTCACGTCTCTCTCTCCTCTCTCTCTCTCTCTCTCTCTCTCTCTCTCTCTCTCTCTCTCTCTCTCTCTCTCTCTCTCTCTCTCTCTCTCTCTCTCTCTCTCTCTCTCAAACACACACACACACACACATACACGGCCGCGAGCAAATCGAAACAAACGCTCTTCATCCCACCCATTGAACCGGTGCGTCTGCCGCTCTTCCATTCCTTCATTTATTTCCCTCTCGCGTGATGACGTCATTCGGCTACCATCGGACTCATTTACTCTCCCTGTCAGTCGCTGTTCTTCTAGCCTTGACTTTCGATTCTTGTTTGATCTCCTCATCAGGTAGACAATGGTTCTCGACGGCCCTTCATTCTTTACCTGCAGGGCCACTGTTCTTTTCGCTAATGTGGTTCTTTCTCCTTTTCATCCGTCTGCGCTTCCACACTCAATTTTCTTGTCCACTTGTTCTTCCACCCCATGCTTCTATGTCATCAGGTGGACTGGCCGATTTGTATTTGTTTATTCATGCATTTATCACTGTTATTGGTTATGAGAATATTTGTTCATTATCGTTGTTCCCTCATCTGAATTGGTGATATCCAACTCAATTCGTATCTCGTTATTATCATGATTACTACATCAAGTTCTTTATCAGCGCGTTTTATCATGTTTATTATCACTGTAATCATTCCCATTAGCCAAGATCATGATGTCCTACGTAATTGTCATTATCATCAGTATTTCTTCATCAAAATGTTGTTCTTTAGCCGTTCTTCTCCTTTTTCACCCTCCTTCCCTTCCCCTCAGAAGCTAAAATAAAAAAATATGAACAGCTCCCCCCCCCCTTCCTGGAAAAAAGAAAAGAAAATAAGAACTTTAAAAAATGAAAGAGGGAATGAAGAAAAACAAACAAAAGTTACAAAGAAGGAAAAATAAGAAAAAAAAATAGAACAAACCACATAAAAGCATGAAAGAAGAAGAAAGAAGAGAAAGCAAAACAATAACCCTTTCTCACGTTCCCCGATCATAAACCTCAATGGTGACTCGGTAAATTTCCGGGTGTATAGATTCTAGTCATATGATAGACGTGTAATACTGAATTATATGTTTGAAAGATGTACTTGTGTATTTTTCTATACAAAATAAAGAAAATAACTTACGATATAATTTTATTCATGACCTTGAACTTAGAGAATTGTGGATTGAGTGTTTGTTTCTACTGTGCTATCGGTGTCATCATCATCTAACAGAAATTCAAAGTAAAATTGAGAGCCACTTCACTCTGTCATCATGGAATGTAGCCAGGCACTGGTTTGAAACAGAGTAGGGACCCCGAGGTTCTTTCCCAGTACCTACTAACTAGGCTGTTTATTTCTGTTGTATATTCCCAAATGTACTGCATTTACGTCATAGGTCACGAAATCCATCTGAAAGAAAGCAAAAAATAACTCACGTTCTCTTTCCATGAAATCTACTGTCCCGTTGCCAGCAGTTTCACCATAATCCTAGCACGGGGAACTAATGGGATACTAGCCTTGCCTAAGGGGTCCCTAGGATGTAGCTTAACATCTTGTCTAGGACGAGCTGTTGCAGTGATGGTGATAATTATTATCCTTATTATAACTATTATTCTATTATTGCTCTTAACGTTGCTGTTGTATTTCTTATGGTTATGATTATTATTGTTATCATTGTTATTGCTATTATTATTATCACTATTATTATCATTGTTATTGTTTTGTTATTATGATTATCATAATCATCATCATCATCATTATCATCACCATTATTTTATTATTGTTATTTGGATTCTTATTGATATCATTATTATTATCATTGTTGTTGTTGTTATTATTATTATCATTATCAATATTATCATTATCGTCATCATCATCATTATGATGAAGATGAGATCAATGAAAATAATATCATGAGGATTAATATTTGACTAATTAATTGATTGATTAACATATAATGATAATAACAAAAATACTAATGATAATGATGATATGAAGATGAAGATGAGAAGGAGGAGGAGAAGGATGTGGATAACAACAACAAAAACGATAATAACAATGATAATAATGAAATGATAAGGATGATGAAATCAATAGCTATAAAACACTATCACTACTATTACTAATAATGAAATTGATGACAAAGATAATGATAATAATAACAATAATAATAATAATGATAATAATAATGATGATGATGATGATGATAATGAAGATAATGATAATAATGATTATAATTTAATAGTAATAATGATGATAGTAACAATAATTATGATGATAAGGAAGATATTGATGATGATGATAATGATGATGATAATAGTAATAATAATGATAATAATAATGGCAATAACTATAATGATAATGATAATAATGAT